TTATGTATAATTAACATTATGTATAATATGTACCATATATACTAATGTTAATATGTAACATATGTATAATTAATATTAGTGTGTAGCACACATAACCCACATTATGTATAACAATACTACTATGCAACATACTTATATATTATGTATATTACTATAATATTATTATTTAACACACTTAATATTAGGTTAACTGTACATAATAGTTATGTAATACAGTGATATATTACTTAGTATTACTATATAACACACTCACCTATTATGTATAATTAACATGTAACATTAACATACTTATATATCATTTAGTGTGTAACACACTTACCTGTATAACATAATATCAGTGTATATCATACTTCTATATAATGTATATTATATAACATACTTAGGTATAACTAATATACTTGTGTGTATTATACATAATATATGTTATATATTAGGTATAATTAACATAATATATAAAACATACTATTACGTATATTGTAACACTTATGTATAATTAACATATTAGTATATAACATACTTGCCCCTTATGTATAATTAAGAATATTAGTATGTAATGTACTGATACAGGTAACAATTGTATATAACATACTTATATACTGTTACACATAATATATAACATACTTATGTTAATTATGTAATGTAACACTATTATGTAACATACTTTTATATTATGCATAATTAACATTAGTATGTAATATACTGATATATGTATAACAGTATATATTATGTACTGATATTGTTAGTTATACGTATGTAACATTCTTACGTATTATGTATGACCAACACAGTATTTGTATGTAACATACATATATTTGTATATAACTATCTATTATGTATAATTAACAGAATACTAGTATGTAGCACACTTACCTATTATGTAAAACTAATACTGGTGTATATCATACTTTTGTATAATTAACATTAGTATATAACTTACATACTAGTGTTAATTATACATAGTATATAACACTTACATAATTAATATACTAGCATCCAACATTATATGAATGTTACCATTACATGTTAATCATACATTAGTATACAGCATAATTATATACCATTATTATGTATAATTAACAATTTTTATGCATAATATGCAACATACTAATGTTAATATATTATTAACCTACATTATGCATAATTAACATAATAGTAGTATGTAACATATACATAACAATATATAAGTGTTATAACAAGTATGTTACATAATAGATGTGTGTTACATTACATATAACTAAGTATGTGTTATATATTATGTATAACTAATGATATTAGTATGTAATATACTGATATGTATAACAGTATATTACATACTTACATACTGATATTGTTAGTTATACATAATATATAACATTCTTATGTATTATGTATGACCAACATAGTATTACTATATAACATACTTATCTATAATGTATAATTAACAGAATACTAGTTTATGTATTATGTATGACCAACATAGTATTACTATATAACATACTTATCTATAATGTATAATTAACAGAATACTAGTTTGTAGGACATTTAACCTATTATTATGTAACATACTCATATTATTAACATTAGTATATAACATACTTATTAACATAGTAGTGTGTAACACACTTACCTGTATTACGTGTAACTAATATTAGTGTCTATCATACTTACATATTATGTATAATTAGTATATAACTTACATACTATTATACATAATATATAACAATTACCATGTATAATTAACATTAGCATACAACATAGTTACATGAATGTTACATGTTAATGATATATAATATATATCAACATATTAGTATACAGCATAATTATATATCATTACCATTAGTACATAACATACACTATGTATAATATTATATAAGTATGTTACATACTAGTATTATGTTAGTTATACATAATGTGGGTTAAGTGTGCTACACACTAATATGTTAATTATACATGTTATATAATATACATATTAACAGTGTCTGTTACATAATGTGTTAATTATACATAATTTGTTGTAATATCAGTGTATATCATACTTATATATTATGTATATTATGTTATACATAATATAGGTAAGTGTTACACACTAATATGTTAATGATATATGTCATATACTAATGTTTATGATATATAATTATAGTATATAGTAATTTCAATATTATGTATAGTTATGTATAATTAACATTATGTATAATATGTACCATACATACTGTTAATATATAACATACTTATATGTATAATTAACATATACCTGTATAACATAGAATCAGTGTATATATCATACTTATATATAATGTATATTATATTATATGTGTAATTAACACATGTAACATACAAATGTTAATATGTATATTATATAATATACTTAGGTATAACTAACACACTAGTGTGTAATATACTTATATATACTGTTAATTATACATAATATATATTAATTGTAACTAATATAAAACATACTATTATGTATATTGTAACACTTATGTATAATTAACATATTAGTATATAACATACTTGCCTCTTATGTATAAATAATTAATATTAGTATGTAATGTACTGATACATCGAACAATTGTATATAACATACTTCTGTACTGTTATACATAATATATAATGTACTTCTGTTAATTATGTAATATAACACTTATCTATTATGTAACATACTTTTATATTATGCATAATGAACATATTAGTATGTAATATTCTGATATATGTATAACAGTATATATTATGTACTGATATTGTTAGTTATACATAATATGTAACTTTCTTACGTATTATGTATGACCAACACAGTATTTGTATTTAACATACATATATTTGTATATAACTATTATGTATAATTAACAGAATTACTAGTATGTTGCACACTTACCTATTATGTAACATACTCAT